GTTTGCTTTAGGGGAAGCGCTGTATCTGGAGTGCCAGCGAGGGAGTCTCTGATTTGCTGGTCAAATGCACTTTCTGGATGAAGCAGCACCCCTCCCTGCCTCAGTCTGCCCTGAGTGGGCTTTGCTCACCATTGGACCAGACCCATTAAAATGCACCTGGTACCTCGGTTGGAGCTAGGAGATCTCTGGATTTCTTCATCTCTCTTACTGGGTGTTGTGTACTGTAAATGTATCTATTCAGCCATCTTGGATCCTATGCCCCAGGCTCTATATTTTTAAAACTACTTATGTCTTTAGTTTTTTTTCTAAAGCGTTCTCAATACCTTCACTTGAACTTTCAGGGTTTCAACTCACAGTTGATTTTATCCATGTTGCTATTCATCCTATTTATTCTATTGCTTATATACTTTTGTAACATATTTAATATTTTGAGTTTTAAATTCTTGCTATTTATATGTATGTATGTATTTTTAACTATCTCTTTTGCAAGGTCTTGAGTTTGCCATGCTCTCCAGAGAAGCAAATGACTCTGCTTCTTTGAGAAAAGAATTTTTAAATCATAAAACTAAAAGAAACCCTGCAGGAAATAAACAATATAAAAAGTATTTTAATCAGGATTTTTTAGAAATTGCAATCTGGGAGACACCAATCTAGCAAGAAATTATATCATGTTCCATTCAGGTGAGGTTAGAGAGGGGCTTATATAGTTTTACTTCGAGTTTACACAAGTGAAAGATTTTAGCACAGCTGTCTCTTCAGGTGGTTTTCATCAGGCCTGGTATAAACAATTTAAATCAAATGCAACTGCGTTTTCAGGACATCTGTAATTTTCCCAGTTCAAACAGGTCAAATTCTGCCTGGGTGTGTATGAGTATTAATTCAACTTTTTACGCCTTCCCAGTTTGTCTTTAGATGCCTCTCATATAACTGTGTCCATTTTGGATTTCTTTTAATTAGAAATAAAGTGTGCAAGGATTTTCACTGGCAAGGCACAAAGAAAAATAGTTCTCACCTGTGATTCATCAGACCGCAGCAAGAAAGAAAAGGCCAATACGTGCCTGACAAAAAGGCTTGAGGACTTTCAGGTGATTTATTCCTCAAAAAGAATTGGCTCATGCCTTTAATCCCAGCACTTTGGGATGCTGAGGCAAGCAGATTACTGGAGGTGAGGAGTTCAAGACCAGCCTGATCAACATAGTGAAAGTAAAAATACAAAATTTACTAAACATACTAAAAGTAAAAAACTTAGCTGGGCATGATGGTGAGGGCCTGTAATCTCAGGTCCTCTGGAGGCTGAGGCAGGAGAGACACTTGAACCCGGGAGGTAGAGATTGCAGTGAGCTGATATTGCACCAGTGCACTCCAGCCTGGGTAACACAGCAAGACTCCATATATATATATGACAAAGAATTGCACAAATTCTGGAAATTCTACTTCATAGATAACAAAAATATTTACCGAATAAAGCCCAGGTATAGCCATAAAATGGCATTACAATTCTTTTTTTCTAGATAAGAAACAAGCTTAAAAAAAGAAAGGAAATTCTAAGATAAGAGACAAAAATCTCTGGGAGGATGTACACCTAAGGTAAAGTCTCAATCACAGGCCCCTAGAAGAAGACTGAGAATGCAGCTTCTTTCCTGCCCTGCATTTATTGTCAATAGGCTTTCCCTGACTTTCTCCTTTTCACGCTGGTCATTTTGATTATTGTATACTTTTTTTCCCCACATAGAACTGATGCAATTCCAGAGTTGCAAGAGAAAACTACAATGTCCTCATAGTTGTTTAAAAGAAACCTCAGCAAGTGAAGCAGAAGTTGATTTTTTTTTTTCTAAAATCATAGAAAGGTATTCATCCTCCTGGGTCAGAAAATGATCTCTGCAACTATTGTTTTTAGAGAAATCTGTATTTCCAAGGCTGTTGCTATACTCCATGAAAATACCTTCAGATTCTTAACTCTAGAAGTTTAAAGTGGCTATCTTCACTCTCTCCTTTTGTTAATACTAAAATAAGCATGCAGTCTGAGAAAGATGGATTTCAGTGTCTTATCCAGCAGTTAGAAAGCATGGCTTTTTTCCTCTTCTTCCTCATGCGTCATGCTGTTGACTCTTTAGAATTTCATAATCCAAGGAGAAATGTTACAGTCTGTATCTCACTGCAGCTTACACAATTGAAATAAAAAGAATAAAAAGAACCACAACTCCGAGTTTGTAGTAGAATGAGATTTTAATATAATATTCAACTCTAGCATTTAATATTTACAAAAAAAAAATTTCCCCTCCTCTCTGGATAAATACGTTCTGGCAAATAACCAAGAGTTGGAGAAGGCCTGTCTTTTCTTCTGACTTTCGGTGATCTCAGGAAATGTCTTACAATATTCTTTACATTAAAGCTGCAGGAATTGAACCAGAACCCCAAGTGCCTTAGCAGAGCCCTGTGTCTGAGAAAGAGGCTGTGCTTGAGCTGGTCTCAGTTTGCTCTGTCACTGACACAGGGCTCTGCACTGGGGCCTGGCTACTAGATGGAAGGACTAAATTGTGTTGGGGCTTCCCTCAGATTTATGACTCATCCTCCTACCCCATCTGCACTCTGGGTTCCAGGCACTGTGCTGAGCACTCAGTTCATCAACAGTACCAATATATAATCAGCTAGCATTGCCCCATTTCACAGAGGACAAAACCAAATCCAGGAGAGGAGAGACAACTCTTGCCACTTGCAAGACTGGTCAGTGATGGTGCTGGAATCCTAGTGTTAGCTTTTAGGTCTCCTCTGCTCGCGCTAAGCACACAGCTCCACTGATCCTTATAAAACAAATGGAAACTGATTGCCCCATCTCACAGCCCCAGGGTAAAACTGTGTTAGGCTCAACGTGGAGGACACCAAGCACAGTGCAGCTTGCATGTGAGTGGGGACTGCCACTGTTTCATGAGGCCCTCAGGTTTGGAGGTTTTCTGTCATGTAATGACTGTTGGCTCAGGGTGTATCAGAGGGAGGGGCTTCCCCACTGTTTGTTGCAACAGCCGCCTGCCCCAGCCAGGACTGTTCCAAAGTCCTCCAGATAATTTCTCAGATGGCCACTCAATCATGTGGTGTTCTATTGCCCATGGGAGAAAGCCTTAATTTTTTATCATAGAAGGAATAATTTCTAGTATTTGACCACATAGTAGGCAAACTATAATTACCACTATTTAAAAATATATTTTATAATGGCTAGAAGAGAAGGCTTTAAATTCTTCCAAAACGAAGAAATTTTTTTCCCACACAAAGAAAATAATGTCCATGTTTGAGGTGATGGATATTCTAAATACCCTGATTTGATCTCTGTACATTGGATGCATGTATCAAAATATTACTCATAGGCCACAAATATATATATAATTATTATGTATCAATGCTTAAATATGCAAAGGGAAAAATGTGAGAGTGACTCTCAATAAGAAGAAATGACAATTTTTAAGTCGTAGAAAAACTGCTCACTCTAAATTGTAACTTAAGAGACAGGATGTAAAGGGTTCTATAGTCATGTTTACAGTCCTAGACTTCCATGCATAGAGCTGCCTGGCCGTGTGTGTGTCTGCACACAGGAATACAGCAGGGCTTCGCTAGGGGGACTTTGTTTTCCCCCTGAGACATTTACCAATGTTTTGAAAACTGTCTGGCTTTCTGGTTATTTTAGTGATAACTAATTATTTCTACTGGCAAGTGTTAGTAAAGACTCTACTAAAGAGAGAGAGAAAAAAATCTCCCTGTCAAACATGAACCCTCTGGGCCAAAATATCAAGAAAGATGTACAATTAAAATAAGATTCTAACTCCACACTGACTGAATGGACCCCCATATTTGTGGTCAAAGAAAACCAAAAAAAACCTTAAAAACTTAATTTTCAGCCATAACAGGATGAGAGGTAAGACATTTCTTAATATACACCTGCTATTTTATGGTTTAGATACAACAAGTAACGGTAATAATGTTAAATGGAGATCATAAGACTGACAGAACATACTATTTGTGGCAATAAGAAAACAAATTTTATAATTTTGGAGAGGACCTAAGGTCATGCCAGGCAAGGGTTAAGTCATATGGCCTGACATTTAGAGAATAAATGATGTTGTAATTGCCACAAGACTTTTCTTTTTCTCTAGCAACTAAACAAGCAGCAACCTTGAAATAAGCAACATTAAAGCAATTCATATCTCCACCAGATGCTGACTGACTTCCTGAGCCCCCATTTCACCAGCCATAAATACAGCTTTAATTGGAGATGTCTGTAACTTTTTCCTGATAAGACCACTAACCTGGTCTTGGATGGTGTTCTGTGTGGGAGATGTGAGAGGGGAGAAGAAAATACACGCACAATGGTAAACAACTTTATCCCATGTATATGGCAAAGCAGATATAATAAGCAAATGATGTAATAAGCAAATAATATAAGCAAATTGATGTAATAAGCAATTGCATTGGGAAGGGAAGAAGGGGAAAAATATATATATTTACACTCACCAGACTGTGGAGGATTCACTACCAGACCGGGAAGCCTGGGCACCAGAACCAGACACCTGTCCGTGCACAGACAAGGAGAGGTCTCATGAAGCTTTGGTGCAGTCTTGGACCCTAGCTCTTTTTGTAATGAGTTATTTGACATGAGGCCCAGTCACAAGGGCCCTTCATGACTGGGCTCAAGAAACACAAAAATTCTACTTGTTTTTTGTGATTATCTATTGTTTTTCAACAAGTAAAGTATAGGAATAGATGGAAATAGAGGTTTCTCCAAAACAATGCTGAATGAATGACTCAAGGGGCTCACGCAGCCTGTTCTGGGACTTGGTGACTGTTGTTTGTGTCCATGTTCAATTGAGTCCAAATTTTATTTTTAACTTTTCCTCCACAGCTCGTTTACAGAGATTGCACCCTCAGATGTCTCTGTGCTCTGAAAAGACCTTTGATCTTTAGGACCTAATTGTAAGGTAATACATTTAAATGTTACATTTCCACTTTTTTTAAAATTAAATTGTCTTTATTTAATTGACAGTGTTAAGAGAGAAAAATTCACTATCATTACTAAAGAGCTGAAAACTCAAGACATATTCTTTAGGAGTAGTTGCTAACTCACATAACTGTTTAGATTTGACTTAACCGAAAGAGAAGTCTTACAATGAAAGAGATTTATTATTAAAGATGTTATAATTAAGCTACTAAAGACTTACAATATGCTTCTTAGCTAATATAATTGTATCATATTACTTAGGTTCAAGCTCTTTCTTCAAAGAGTCATCAGAATAACATGGATTGAAGAGACTTCCTAACACTTGCTATCTCTTGCTGCTGAGTTTCCATCATAATTTTTTTCTGCAACATAGCCATTTCTTTTTTAAATTCATTTTGTGCACCAGTAAGTAGATTATCATGATTCTTCTCCAACTCTTCCATACTCTTTATGAACTGCTCATATAACTGTCTAATTGTTTTCAGTCTCTGGCTCTGAACAATTCTAGATTGTTGAAGAATCTTTTGTTGCTGTTGAAACATATTAAGTATTTTTTCTTCTTGTTCCTCAGCTTTCTGCATATCTAAATCCCACTGCTGAAACAAAGTCAGAAACTGCTGAGAATATTCTTGGTTAAGTTTCTACCTTTGATCTTGTGTTTTCCAAACATGTTTGATTTTCTGGTTGCTAGTTTTGAGAGAAGCCTTGGTATACATTTCTAGTCTCTTTCTCTTGGCAAGAAGAGCCTTGTTAATGTTAACTCCAACTCCTTCCAGCATACTCTGTACTTCACCCCACATATCTTCAACTACTCCTGCAGAAGATCTTTTCTTCCTACGTTTCTCAATGACTGTAGTCTTCCCTTCAATAGCATCTTCCTCTGAGCCACTCAGATCTTTCTTATCTTCAGTCTCAAAGTCATAGGCTCTGGTAACTAATCTTCCATGGATGGCTTCCCAGATTTCCTGGAATACTTTTTTCTGGAGGACACCATATCTAGCTGCTTCCTGACTGAAGTACCCCTTAGCCGCGACGCTTCTGAGGCAAGCTGAGATGCGCACTGAAGAAAAGGTGGTCTCCACATTTCTACTTTAAAATTAACATGGGTCATATGTTTACATGGGTGTTTGATCAATACACATGTGGCAGAACCACTGTCATGAATATTCATTAGCCCTCTTGTAACTTGTGAAATATGTATGTTTAGCTAACCTGTTCAGCATAAAATTCCTAGCCCAAACCCTCCTTCTTTCAAAAGTGTTTGCACACATGCTCTTGGCTGAAAACAGACTTCCCAGACTGTGGAATGAGTACGTTGCAGACTGTAACCCTCCACAAGAAACAAATGCTCATTCTCTTCTAACTTTATATCTTGTATTTTTTTAAGTTAACAAAGTTGATACTGACAATCTTAGTGTCAAGAAAGAGCCTACTTCCTTCACTAAGAGATATCTTAGATACCATTTTCAAGTTATTTTTCTTTTTTTTTAAGGTTTTCCTAAAGTTGCATTTTAGGTTTTGGGGTACATGTGAAGAACATGCAAGATTGTTGCATAGGTATCTGGCCATTCTCCCCATGTGGTCTCTCCCCAACTCCCCACCCCCGCTGTCCCTCCCCTATTTCTCCCCAACAAACCCCAGTGTGTGATGCTCCCCTCCCTGTGTCCATGTGTTCTTATTGTTCAACACCCACCTATGAGTGAGAACATGCGATGTTTGATTTTCCATTCTTGCGACAGTTTGCTGAGAATGATGGTTTCCAGGTTCATTCATGTCCCTACAAAGGACATGAACTCATCATTTTTGATAGCTGCATAGTATTCCATGGAGTATGTGTGCTACATTTTCCCTGTCCAGTCTATCATCAATGGGCATTTGGGTTGGTTCCAGGTATTTGCTATCGTAAACAGTGCTGCAATGAACATTCGTGTGCACGTGTCCTTATAGTAGAACAATTTATAATCCTTTGGATATATACCCAGTAATGGGATTGCTGGGTCAAATGGAATTTCTATTTCTAGGTCCTTGAGGAATCGCCACACTGTCTTCCACAATGGTTGAACTGATTTACACTCCCACCAACAGTGTAAAAGTGTTTCTATTTCTCTACATCCTATCTAGCATCTGTTGTCTCCAGATTTTTAAATGATCACCATTCTAATTGGCGTGAGATGGTATCTGAATGCAGTTTCGATTTGCATTTCTCTAATGAACAGTGATAATGAGCATTTTTCATATGTTTGTTAGCCTCATATATGTCTTCCTTTGTAAAGTGTATGTTCATATCCTTTGCCTACTTTTGAATGGGCTTATTTGTTTTTTCTTGTAAACCTGTTTTAGTTCTTTGTAGATCCTGGATATTAGCCCTTTGTCAGATGTGTACATTGCAAAAATTTTTTCCCATTCTGTTGGTTGCCAGTTCACTCTAATGACTGTTTCTTTTGCTCTGCAGAAGTTGTGGAGTTTGATTAGGTCCCATTTGTCTATTTTGGCTTTTGTTGCCAATGCTTTTGGTGTTTCAGTCATGAAATCCTTGCCTATGCCTATATCCTGAATGGTTTTGCCTAGATTTTCTTCTAGGGTTTTTATGGTGTTAAGTCTTATGTTTAAGTCTTTAATCCATCTGGAGTTAATTTTAGTGGAAGGTGTCAGGAAGGGGTCCAGTTTCTGCTTTCTGCACATGGCTAGCCAGTTTTCCCAACACCATTTATTAAACAGGGAATCCTTTCCCCATTGCTTGTTTTTGTCAGGTTTGTCAAAGATCAGATGGTTGTAGACATGTGGTGTTGCCTCCGAGGCCTCTGTTCTGTTCCATTGGTCTAGATCTCTGTTTTGGTACCAGTACCATGCTCTTTTGATTACTGTAGCCTTGTAGTATAGCTTGAAGTCCAGTAGTGTGGTACCCCAAGCTTTGTTCTTTTTGCTTAGAATTGACTTGGCTATGCAGGCTCTCTTTTGGTTCCATATGAAGTTTAAGGTGTTTTTTTCCAGTTCTGTGAAGAAGGTCATTGGTAGTTTGTTGGGGATAGCACTGAATCTGTAAATTACTTTGGGCAATATGGCGATTTTCAAGATATTGATTCTTCCTAACCATGAGCATGGAATGTTTGTCCATCTGTTTGTGTCCTCTCTTATTTCCTCAAGTAGTGTTTTGTAGTTCTCCTTGAAGAAGTCCTTTACATTCTGTGTTAGTTGTATTCCTAGGTATTTTATTCTCTTTGTAGCAATTGTGAATGGCAGTTTGTTTTTGATTAGGCTCTCTTTACGTCTGTTACTGATGTACATGAATGCTTGTGATTTTTACACATTGATTTTGTATCCTGAGACTTTGCTGAACTTGCTTATCAGTTTCAGGAGATTTTGAGCTGAGGCAATAGGGTCTTTTAAATATGCAATAATGTCATCTGCAAATAGAGACAATTTGACTTCCTCCTTTCCTATTTGAATACGCTTTACTTCTTTTTCTTGCCTGATTTCTCTGGCTAGAACTTCGAATAATATATTGAATAGGAGTGGTGAGAGAGGGCATCCTTATCTAGTGCCAGATTTCAAAGGAAATGCTTCCAGTTTTTGCCCATTCAGTATGATATTGGCTGTTGGTTTGTCATAAGTAGCTTTTACTATTTTAAGGTATGTTCCATCAATACCTAGTTTATTTAGGGTTTTTAGCATAAAGGCCTTTTGAATTTTGTCAAAGGCCTTCTCTGCATCTATTGAGATAATCATGTGGTTTTTTCTTTGGTTCTGTTTATGTGGTGAATTACGTTTATAGACTTGCGTATGTTGAATCAGCCTTGCATCCCCAGGATGAAGCCTACTTGATCATGATTGATAAATTTTTGATGTGCTGTTGCTATCGGTTTGCCAGTTTTTATTGAAGATTTTTGCATCTATGTTCATCATGATATTGGCCTGAAGTTTTCTTTTCTTGTTGAGTCTCTGCTGGGTTTGGGTATCAGTCTCATAAAATGATTTGGGAAGGATTCCCTCTTTTTGGATTGTTTGGAATAGTTTCTGAAGGGGTGATACCAGCTCCTCTTTGTATATATGGTAGAATTTGGCTTTGAACCCATCTGGACCTAGGCTTTTTTTGGTGGTAGGCTGTTGATTGCTGCCTCAACTTCAGCCCTTTTTATTGGTCTATTCAGGGTTTCAACTTCTTCCTGCTTTAGGCTTGAGGGGAGGCAAGTGTCCAGGAATTTATCCATTTCTTCCAGGTTTACTAGTTTATGTGCATAGAGTTGTTTGTAATAATCTCCGATGATGGTTTGTATTTCTGTGGAATCTGTGGTGATATCCCCTTTATCATTTTTTATTGCATCTATTTGATTATTTTCGCTTTTCTTTTTTATTAATTGGGCTAGTGGTCTGTCTTTTTTGTTGATCTTTTCGAATAACCAGCTCCTGGATTTATTAATTTTTTGAAGGGTTTTTTGTGTCTCTGTCTCCTTCAGTTCTGCTCTGATCTTAGTTATTTCTTGTCTTCTGCTACATTTTGAGTTTTTTTGATCTTGCTCCTCTAGCTCTTTCAATGTTGACAATAGGGTGTTGATATTAGATCTTTCCTTGCTTCTTATGTGGGCATTTATTGCTATATATTTTCTTCTAGAGACTGCTTTAAATGTGTCCCAGAGATTCTGGTATGTTGTGTCTTCAGTCTCGTTGGTTTTGAAGAACATCTTTATTTCTGCCTTTGTTTCATTGTGTATCCTGTCAACTTTTAGGAGCTAGTTGTTCAGTTTCCATGAAGCTGTGTGGTTGTGAGTTAGTTTCTGAATTCTGAGTTCTAACTTGATTGCACTGTGGTCTGAGAGACTGTTTGTTTTGATATTCGTTCTTTTGCATTTGCTGAGGAGTGATATACTTCCAATTTTTTGGTCAATTTTAGAGTAGGTTTGATGTGGTGCTGATAAGAATGTGTATTCTGTGGTTTTGGGGTGAAGAGTTCTGTAAATGTCTATTAGGTTTGCTTGGTCCAGGTCTGAGCTCAAGTTCTGGATATCCTTGTTAATTTTCTGTCTCGTTGATGTGTCTAATATTGACAGTGGTGTGTTAAAGCCTCCCACTATTATTGTGTGGGAGTCTAAGTCTCTTTGTAAGTCATTAAGAACTTGCTTTATATATTTGGGTGCTCCTGTATTGGGTGCATATATATTTAAGATTGTTAGTTCTTCTTGTTGCATTGATCCTTTTACCATTATGTAATGTCCTTCTTTGTCACTTTTGGTCTTTGTTGGTTTAAAGTCTATTTTATCAGAGCCTGGAAATGCCCCTCATGCTTTTCGTGCTTTCTATTTGTTTGATAAATCTTCTTCCATCCCTTTATTTTGAGTCTTTGTGTATCCTTGCATGTGAGATGGGTTTCGTGGATACAGGACATTGATGGGGTTTGGTTTTTTATCCAATTTGCCATTCCGTGTCTTTTGATTGGGGCATTTAGCCCATTTAGATTTAGGATTAATATTGTTATGTGTGAATTTGATCCCGCCATTTTGATGCCAGCTGGCTGTTTTGCCCATTAGTTGATGCAGTTTCTCCATTGTATCGATGCTCTTAACCATTTGGTATGTTTTTGGAGTTGCTGGTACTGATTGTTCCTTTCTCTGTTTAGTGCTTCTTTCAGGAGCTCTTGTAAAGCAGACCTGGTGGTGATGAAATCTCTGAGTAATTGCTCGTAAAGGATTTTATTTCTCCTTCACTTATCAAACTTAGTTTGACTGGATATGAAATTCTGGGTTGAAGGTTCTTTTCTTTAAGGATGTTGAATATTGGCCCCCGCTCTCTTCTGGCTTTTAGAGTTTCTGCTGAGAGCTCTACTGTGAGTTTGATGGGCTTCCTTTTGTGAGTAACCCGACCTTTCTCTCTGGCTGCCCTTAGGATTTTCTTCTTCATTTCAACCCTGGTGAATCTGACAATTATGTGCCTTTGGGTTGCTCTTCTTGAAGAATATCTTTGTGGTGTTATCTGTATTTCCTGGAGTTGAATATTGGCCTG